CATAATGAAGAAGCACAAAGATGCTATAAAAGGTCCAGAAAGCAAAAAGCCTATTTCAATAGGTCCTAGACCTATAACCGTTCGTTGGCGAAAATTAAAAATTAAAAATTAAGAATATAAAAGCTTTATTCACCCTATTTCGAGTGAAGTGAACAAGGACTGTTAGCTGAATTCTCCTAAAATGATATGAATAGGCCTCATTCTTTCATTGAATTTCGCATAACCTTGCTTCCAAGTCTCATCATCACATTACCAAATGCGCCAAATTGCCCCAAATGCCTTTTGGTCACAAGGCGGAAGCGAATTTTAAGGAAGCCTGGGACTTGCTATATCACATTTATGTGATAGGATTGCAGACGAAGTAAAGTTGTATTTTCTATAGCAATGGACCACATTAAATATTTTCAGTCAAAAAGTAGGCTTTTAAGACTACCAGTAGATCTTATATAAGAGCTGTGTTCACCTTAGTTCACTTAATTCCATCAATGAAATGTGATACGGAAATTCACTTATGTCCTGCTACCCAAGGGGCGTGACGTATTTTTTAATACGTTGTTCTAGTCGGGAGTTAATTTCCGCTGGGGTGCTGATGAGACCTAGGCGAGGTAGAAACTGCAGTCCACCCTGGATGAGAATGCCTTTTTGGGAAACAAGGCTATGTGAAAATAAATGGAAATATGAGGCCTCTATCCTTGTTGAAAAATTCAGCTACCAGTCTTTTCTCATCTTAAACGAAATAGGGTGGATACAACTCTTATATCAGATCTATGATAGTCTCGAAAACCAACTTATAAACTTAAAATGAATGATATTCCGAATAGCAGATCATAAATCACGATTATAGGGATCATTTATTAGGAAATATTATCTGTAGCAGGGCCAAATAAGTGTAGAACTAATACTGCAAAGAGAGAAAGTAGCTCTAAAGACTCAATGGCTTTTTAATAAGGGAAGTTAATTTAAAATGATTCTTAAAGATAAAGAAGTAAATGATTGAGACAAACTTAGAGAAAACTGAGTTATCAAATCTAGCAAGATAAGATGAACTGCCTAGTGTATAAAGGACTACGGCCAGAGTGTAATTTCAGAAAATTACTCGGCGAATAAGAATCGTAGTATGAATGTAAGAAAGCATGGATAAACCCAAGTTCATACTGCTTAATCAGGAATAAAAGTAAGATTCGTAAGGAACAAACAAGGAGCGTAGGCTCGAGAAGCTTAGCCATATTGGCTAAAAGGGCGTCAGCAGAATAGTCAAAATACTCGTTCTTTAATGAGGATAAGAAGCATAAGCCTGAGCTGTAGTTACGATGGAATGACTTTATCATCAGTGGCTACACGACCTGGAAAGTAAGACAACTCCAGCAGCAGGCTGACAGGCAATCGTGAATCATTGCTAAGCTCTACAATATATGGTAGAAATGAATGCTAAGGGCAAAACAGGCCAATCGATACCACAAGCAAGTCCTTAACTTGCCAGGAAAAAATCGGTTTTAGAGAGACATCTTGTTGTCAACTCCTCAAAACCAAAAATAAGCAATGAATAAATGTGAGGATATCACCTCAAATAAATAAAAATATTTAAATTAAATTCAATTATTAAAAAGCAGAATCAGAATATGACCAAGAGACCAAATGCCAAATAATGGCATATTTAAGCTCATTCAAAATGTTTACGGTAAGGGTTTAGATTGTGGAATAGAAAAGTATAACCAAATTACACTGGAATACTAACTTTTCTCAACATATCATCCGCTGGTGACAAATGCTGCTTTGCCAAATCAGAGAGGCTAGCCGTGAGGTCTGCCAACCGATGAGGGGGCGGCGAAATAACCTCTGGCGGAAGGCTCGATAGCATCTGACGCCAGGCCAAAAAGCCGACCGATATATCGAGCTTAGCCTTGCAATTGGTTTGCAGATGCCAGGCAGCACCACATAGTTTACAAGTTGGCATCATAGGAATGAAAAAAGCAAGCATGGTGGAAGGCTCATCAGAAGAGGAGAGACCGAGAACTGAGCAGCGGATAGATCTAGAACCAGGACGATTCAAAAGGCCAGATGACTGCAAAGGAAAAGCGAGTTCATCGGCTCTCAGAAGAGAAACGCGGCCTGAGTGGTAGTATTCGGGGTTATCATCATCCACAGGCTAAATAAAAGGATGGGAGATAATAACAAATCAAAAAGACGAATTCAGATAAAACCTATGTACATAATGTTCCTTTGTAAAAGCGTATCTTTGCGCTGGTTTTGGTCCTGATCCAATCATTGATTTCATATCATACAGCCTCATTGGCACATGGTATATCAACTTCATCCTTTTCATGCACAAGTGGCTCAATACAGGCAGAATTATTAGACTGGTCGGTTGTTGCGCCAAAATGAATCTTCTCTTCTACATGGTCTACCTGAACACAAGACCAAGTTGCGACAACGAGGTCAACCCACTTCTATAAATCGAAAGGAGACTGCGACCATTAGATCAAGACAAGTTGCGACAACGAGGTCAACCCACTTCTATCAATCGAAAGGAGACTGCGACCACACCAGAGGCCACAACATCTTGGTCTTCATATATTCAATCGACTACGTAACCTGGGTTGATTATGTAGACAGCAAAATGAGACCTACTATACAAGTCCTGCGAATGGCAATCATAAAATTTCGCATAAAAAGAGTTTAAATGGCCAGCAGATCAACAAAATTAACAAGCCTGCTCTGCATTCATAGATTTTAGCCCTTATGCTTAAAAGACCACAAACGAAAAATAAAAGTAAATTCGTAATAAGCAAATGTACTAGACACAACTAACTTTTGACTATCACTAGTGTAAAGGTTGAATTTCTAAGTTGGCTGTTACACTCTAGAATGGTCCGTTCAATACATTCCAGGAAAAATCTCACATACCTAATAAATTTTCTCATTAATCAGCCTTAACAGTAGAACGATCCTTCATCAAAAATATAGATTTATTTCATATAAGAATCCATTCAGTTTTTTAGGCATAGCCTTAATTTTTTTCTAAGTCCAAAAAGCAAAGAGATTTCTAATACTTTCAATGCAAGTAGCTGATGAAACTATCAATGATTCATAAACAAAAATTTGGTTACCCTAGTTCTCTAAGGGCTGGTAATTGAGCTTTCTCACAATCGCATGACAAGGCCTAAGGATGCTAATAAATTTTATGTAGACTATCTCATCTAGAATGGACTGACATTTCGCCATCGCCTATGTCGCATCAGCCCCCTAAAGGGGATTCGAATTAGGGTAATAAGTGATGTTGCGATGTCACCACACCACTCACTGGTCCATAAGGCAAATGTAAAATTGTGGGCAAGCTAGGCATCACTCAAATCACACCAATGGTCGAATTGTCAACGAAGCAAAAATGAAACCTCATATCCCAATCTTACGTACTGCATAGTCGCAGTTCTACTATATTGGTATCGTTGCTACAGCCTCCGTCTTGACCATTTACGATGCAGTTGAACTTAGATCAATTAAAAGCCCCCTCATTTAAAGCTTGTTCCAGCCCATTCAGTCTAATAGTTAATCATATAATCGTTGTGTTTGAAGCTGCCATCAAGTTTCTATTGCAATGATGTAGCCAAAACACCAAGGGTAGCAAAATCTCTAATAAATAAATTAAAGAACTTCTTACTAAATAATGAAGAGCTTCCAGCCTCCCATAATATATCCAGTCATATCCAAGCCTACACTGCTTTGCGTAGTCTAGACTTATGTCATACTTACTGCCCTCCTCGCTTAACTACAACTAAGGAAAATGTTTCAAATACCTGGCTGACAACAGCAACGAATTCAGACAGCATCGAATTACTTTATACATGAGTCAGTGTAATGCCTTGATATTTTCCAATAATTGTATCTAGACAATTATTTTCTCTCGAGACTAATTAATGCTTTAGGAAATTACACTACTAATCCTAATGTAGAAAGATAGCTGATAGTAACCATCAGCAC